CAAACCTCTAAAATATATTTCAGGATATAGTAAATTTACATTATTAGTAATTATATTTCATAACTGATCCGAGATAGTCTTCAATAAAATCATTTTATTTTTACTAAAATAATATAATATTAAAAAGGTATACCAAATTCAGAAGAAATTAAATTATAATTTATCAATAATAATTTAAATCCATTTAATTATTCTGTCATAGGTATTTTTCCACTAATAGATTAATTAATATTAATAGGAATATACATAGATATGTACATACATATATAGATTAGAATTACTATCATCCTATGTTGCACACCACCCGTTTTGCACTCTGCACACAAATATACCCTGAATTAATTAAACGAGGGCCGTGTGCAAAAGTTTTTATCTCTAAAATCAAGTCTCCATAATTTTGTGCTTATAAAACTGTAAACATTTTTTATAATAGATCAGTGAGAACCTAAAAGTTCAACGCGACTATCAAAATTAGTAGAGAACTTTAGCTGAGAAAGCTTTTCCAGAAGATTTCAATAAACAATAAACAATAAACAAAAGACGTCATCAATATGCCTTGCCCATGTGGAACCGGTAAGTTGAACTGATAAGAACTGAAGTTATCTGTAAAATATTGTTAATGGGTCTATCGGTGTTATCAAGAATTACGTAGTTATGCTACTATTTATATATGTATTTTTATCAGTTTTATTTTTATATAAATTTTTGTTAAAATTTTTATTTACGTTTTGATTTTTTCTCATTTTCAGGTTGTAAATGCGCCTCTGAGAAGCAGAGCAATTGTGGTTGTGGAGCTTCATGCAAATGCGCCAGTGCAAGCAAATGAAGATACTTTGGAGTTCATCTTCCATTAGATTTAGGTAGACGCGTCACATTTTTTATTTTATTTTGATTCGAACTCATCAATAATATCAGTGGCTGTTTAAAAATATGAAGTCATTCCGTTATTGGGTGATTTTATATACTAATTATTTTTAAATTACTTAAGTAAACCATTTTTATATAGTTGACCATCTATAACATATTAGACAAATTCTAATAAATAATATTTAAATAATTTTTTAATTTGTATTTGTATTTTTTTGCTTTTTCCTTTGCAATTAATTTTCTCATTTCGCTTGGGGTGAATATCAAAGTTTGTACTTATGAATCAATGCTTAAAGGCTGTCTTAAGTCTGGCTTAACATCAACTTTGCTAACTTAATTCATACTTAGGTCAGCTTTAAGACTTAAGTTTGAACTGTTAATTCGGTCCCAAGACTTACACCAGGAATAACGCGTTTGATGTCTGGTAAACTTAATGTACCGTTTATTCAAGGAAGTATGTAGGGTGATATTGTAATTTAATGCTTATTTATTATCATTTATGACAATCACTGTTATCAATACTTTAGAAATAATCAACCTCTGTTGGTCATTATTAATGTTGGCGCATTAATGCCATAGACCGTAGAGTTAAAAAATACGATCTTTTAATTACGGTGTTAACGTTGAATGCTTATAAAAAATTTCGAAGCATATTTTTTGGGAAACAGCAGAATGCAGTATACTTATAGGAGTGAAGAGAATAATTAACATATTTCTTTAAAATATTATATTTAAAATTTTTGTCAAAGACTGTAATTTTATGGTTTTGTTGGTTCTTTTTAACGTTTTTTAAAGGGGATGAGTACTGTACTTAGTGTAAAATACTGGTAGGAAAATTAAGTAAACCTTAAATATTGGAAAAATTTCTAGAATTTAAATAAACTTGGAAGTCACAGTATCACGGACTTTCACTGCTGAGAACTGTGTATTTGTATTTTGACAAGTCATTTCTGAAAGATAGTTTTAATTGGTTAAAGTCTTATAAGGTGGTTTTCGCTGCTTGTCACCTACTGAATAAAAATAATAATAATATGCAAGACATTCAGTTAATATTATAAGTTGAATATACATTGCTATTTAATCCACACTACTATCAGTAGCTGAAGGTTTCTATGTAGGATGTCCTGTTGTTTCTGCTACTTGTTTTTGATCTTAACTCACTGAAAGATTTGTCAGGTTTAAATCATTTATTTTAAAGATATTTATGGTGAGTTCGCTGAGGACTCCATGTCCATGTTGTATGTGGAATTAATAATATTGATTTTTACTTTGTGCTTTTTAAAAATACCTTTATCTTCGTCAGAATTGATCGCCAAAAACTCGTTACTTACACATTTGGTTTATCATGTTCAATATTTCTTTAAAAATAAAATTTATATATTTTAATAAATAATTAGTACATATTATAAAATAATCCAATACTTTTAAACAACAAGGCTTTTATAGACTTTTTAGCTAATAAAAACATTTTTTTTATTGACTTCATGCGGTGTGTAAGGACTGTTCTTTAAACTACTTAAAAACTGAATTGAAGTATATAGAAAATATATATCTAATTTATAGTAAATTATATAAAAAAAATATATATATATATTGGTATGAATAATTATTCCTTTAATAAGTTTCATGCACTAAATATATTTCAGTCTAATATTGAATTCCAGATGAGTCTTCTGAAAGACCTCTATTGTCTAAAAATACTTGTATTAAAATTTAGTAAGCATGATTTTTAATTTCAATAAAATTTTTATTTAACAAAATAAAAATCACTTTTTTTTTGCGTTTAACATATTTTATCTTTTTTATAGTTTTACACGCTTTTTTTACCTTTTATAATCTGATTTTATCCTAGTTTTTGCAAATTGGCTAAAAATGGCGAAAACGATCAAATCAGACGATGAGAAGTGTAAGACGTCTACTTCGGAAACTCAAGAATCTTCCGGAACTGAAATGGAGAGCATTTTTAGTGAAATAACTGCAAGGAGAAATGAGGTACGTAAATAATAATTATGATATATTTAAAATGTAAAAAATTATCCAAATTAAAAATTAACTATGACTTAATATCATCTGAAGGCTCTTTACAATTATACTCGCAATCGCATGCTAAACGCACATAGATTTAAAAATTTTAATCATCGTGATTACTCGATGACCTCGTCGTCGTCGTCATCGTCGTCGTCTTCTGACGACTATGTTGACAATGATAAAGCCGTATCAATAAAAGACGTAACTGATGCGGCTGAAATGAAATTCGAAGAGGCGATCTCGTCGCTAACAAGTGAGGATGATCAAACAGTTTATACTGCTTCACAAATCGTCCTTAAGAGTGCTACAGACACTATGTCGGAAAATAATTTTGATAAAAAAACAACAAGATCACCTGGCAGTTCTTTGATTCTGGACAAGCAATGTACGTGCCGTTGTGCAATACACAATCCAAATGGTCATTGTTATATTGATATTAAAGGAGTGAACTCTAAGACTGCGAATATAAGAACTTCCATAAGCATTAATAATAATAATAAAGTTCAAATGAATACCCAAAAGAATATACAAAAGAATGTACCGAAAAATACACCAAAACCACCAGAGCAAAGTGTGAAAAATGATGAGCCAACGAAGGTTATAAAACAGTCTGCCTCCAACGAAGCTGTTAAATCATCAGATAGTGTTTCCGATATTGACAAGGACCTACGTGAAAAGTTAATGAACTTTAAATTGGTTTTGATTAATCATCGACAACAGGAGATAATGAATGAAAAACTGAAAAAAATGGAAGACTACAGGTTAAGAAATGCTGCAGCACAGGTAAAAACACCACGTCGGGTTACTTTTGCCGAACCGGAAAGTTCTGAATCCAGTGAGGTTAGCACAACAGATGATTCCGTTACATCAATGGATACAGATGAAGAGAATTACATACAGAATCCTATGGAATCGATTAGAGACTATGAAAATGAATTGCCCTATCGGATTTCACACACGCTTCCATTACGTGAACTTGCACCAGATGTTCCCCGTTTAAAAAATTTCAATAATGCAAAAATGCCCGTACCAAAAATGAGGTAAGTAAACAAAACATAAACATATTTTGATGACGAATAATACCATGATCTTACTGCTTAAAAGGAACATCAGACATCCGCGTAAGAACGCCAGTTTTTCCAATAAAGAACTGCGTGAAATTGAGAGGACGAATAAGATTTTGCTGCAAAAAATTGTCAGTCAAAAGCCAACGTTTACCACGAGTGGTCAGGTAAGTAATGCTCTGAAAATATTAATACCAGAGAGAGATATATAGCCAGAGAGATAGATATATAGAAAGAGCTAGAGACAGGGCCGATAGAAAAGGAAAATAAAATATTAAAAACGATGTGTAAGAAGTGACAGAGAGAAATAGTGATAACATAATTTAAAATATGTAAGGAGTGACGGAAATTTGGGTCTAACCTTAAAACCATTAAAAATATTAATGGAATATTTGAAAAAAATGAATGTTTATTTACCTTAGATCTGCATACCTCCCGAGGAGCCTGTAACGATTCTGAGATTCGGTAACGCGGTGTTGCTAAATCTGTCAGTTTTCGCAAATAATTTCAGTGCTCTATCCTTTATGTATTTTTTGATCGGATCAATCTTGAGGTTCCTGATTGAGGTCCTTTGTGCAATTTAGACAATTTTAAAAAAATTCAATATAAAACATTATATATTTCACTTTTAATAGTAAAGATTTGTTTGTCTTTTAAATAATATGTAATTCTATATCCTTAAAATATTTAGAGTTCTAAAGCTTCGGTCAGATTTGCGTCCACAGCTTCCATTAATCGAAGAAAACAGCAACGTCAAATTGATTTGGATAACCAAATATTGAAGAGGAAAATTGAAGCGATAGCTGTACGAAAGCCTGTAATACTAAAATGAATCAAAGAGCTTTTAATATAATTCCGAAATACGTTACTATTGACCTATTTTGTCTTACCTATGTAATATGTTACGGAATTATATTATTAATCTTAGAACGATTGACAAAATTCATTATTCGGATCCTAGGGATATAAATTAACGAAGCTGAATAATATCAATATTTTTTTGAAAATAAAAAATGAGTTTTTATTAATTTTTATTAATTGCTATATATCAAAATTACTAGAAATCAAATTGCTATAGGAGAATAGAGCAATTAAACCGGATTTAACTACGAGAAGAAATAGTTATTAATCAAATTAAATAAGTCATTGAGACTGGGGGTCTCAACTTAAACATTTAGAAAGAAGTGAAGTATATTTATTTTTAGGATGGATGGTTTGAAGAATTTTTTTTTTTGAGTACTGTTTTTACTTAGGAGGAAGATAAGAAGTTCGAGAGAGTGACCAAAAAGAAAACTATTTATGTATATTTTCTTAATACTCTGATCTACTGATATTACATATTTAAGGTTCGTTACTACTTTATTTGTTTCTTGTTAGGAAAGCAAGTTATTTAGAGGAAAAAATCCTTGGATTTCGAGCAATTGGAAGTTGTCACAGAAATTCTTTTTAAATAAGTCAGTTTGAATAGTATTAACTAAATCCATCTGAATGTGATTGAATATGATTTTTTTAGTTGAAGAATTTTCAGTATATATGTTAAAGTGATAAGGACGAATTAAGAGCATCTAATAATCGTAAGAAATTTATTTTAGATTGATTCAAATTTGGATATGATAGTCGAAGAAAGGGAAAGTTCAAGTATAATTCTTTGCACAATTCCAGCTTTTCTTCACTAGTTTATGTGTTCTTAAATTTAAAATAGTTTGCGTTTCTAAAAATGTTATGTAATGATCAAGACTTGACTTAAAAATAACGATTAAAACCTAACTATATAGCTACTTAACTTCATAATAACCCAAAAGACTTGATCGATCAACAACTGAACTTAATAGGTTTTAGATCTAGTTCAAGCTATCTAATGAGGTTCAGATAGTTATCTGCACAATACTTATATTATTATTAATTTAATAACATTTAATTTACATTCAAGTGAATAATAATTAATACTAAATGAATTTTGAGTTCTTAGCTATTATTCTTAATATTTCCTCACTGATTCAGAGTTTGTGAAATAACCAAACACAGTTTTCAGCTGCTATTGATGTCCTTTTACTCACATCGATAGATAAGGAATATTAAAATTCGTTGAAGTATTACTACACCTGCCCGTTCATAGTCGACTATGGGAACAATATATCAAAAAGTGTTACCAAATCCAGGATTGTGCCGCTTGGCTAATCGTAAAATGTCAAATACTGGAGCAAGCCAAATAAATTTCCAACAGCGTTAAAGTGAATTTATTGAGTGTCAAACTGGCCACAAATGCACCAAATGAACCTTTGTTAAAGGTGATATTCCTAATGTCCGAGCACGACATGATCAGCACAGGTAATACAGAAAGGGGGAAATATGCTTTTAGACAATATTTTCTTAAGATAGAATAATAAGATGGAAAATATAGGAAGAGAATTGAAAGAGGATTCATTAGTTAAAAGATCAAAGTTTGCGTTAAAGTTAATGGCGTTAAAACGGTGTCCTTTTGTTTGTGTTGCACTCATCTCTTAACAGCTTTATTAAATTGACAAGGATAACATTGTAAAAGTGTGTTCATGAACGTGGGAAGGACTAAATGTATTTGTTATCTTTCTGAAACAATCAACAGTATTTTCTGTGGTGTACACATAGG